TCTTCATGTATAAATAGCTGTCATAAATATGAGGTGTTAACCAGGGCCATAGAAAAAATAATAAATGTAATTGCAGGACGAATGAAAATCCACATAACAAGATTTTGTTGTAAATTTTTAAAAAGCAAATTAAAAGAAAAGTACTGTGCAAACACGTAGAACAGCCCCAGAAATATACACAGTCTATTGATAACTACTTCTGGGTGCAAGAGCTGAGTGCGTGGAGAACAGAATGAAAGATGGACTAACTATTCAAAGTAACATTTATCTGCTTTTAATTGTGTACTGTATGAGGCTAGTAATCATTTCAATGAGTATTTTTCAAATCAAGCAACATATTGAAAATATTTTCAATACTTCATGTTGATACCTCTTCTGCCACCCTTTTAGCTCAAAGTAGCAGCTTGCCTTGGCTTTGGGAAAACCCCCCTGCAGACTTCTCCGTTGCCAACTGTCTCCATGTTAGTCTCGGCCAATAGGGGGCGCAGGAGAGACACGGTAAGCTGGGAGCAGGAGGAAAACCCGTTCCTTGCTTATCCCAGGTTGGCTTGTTTGTCACTGTTGGCTGTGTGACTGGTGGCAGCTACATTCGCTCTACAAAGTCTGAATCTCAGTCATGCTGGAGACCTCTCTCCCAGGTTTCTCGGTTCTTTCACTGTTTGCCCTCCTCAAGCGTCCCCAGTTCTAAAGCGTGACCTAAAGGCCAGTCCTACGCTCTTCCTGTCTTTGTACCGCTCTCCATCTAAGAATGGTTTTTCCTTTGAACCCCATCTAAGTTCGATATTATTACAACATGTCTTTGTACCGCTCTCCATCTAAGAATGGTTTTTCCTTTGAACACCATCTAAGTTCGATATTATTACAACAAAATGCATCTCATTCTCTCATAAAGAATTTGATTCCAAAGTTTGTACTTGATGACTGTATTTTTAATTTTCCTTGACTGTCTCATGTCACAAAGCCTAAAAAGCTTTCCAGTCCTTGCTGAAGAGTTTCTTTATACCCCTTTTGGTAGTAACTAACTCCTCGGTTGCCAAAAAAAAAAAAAAATTATATAAGCATTTATTCTTACATCTTGCAATTCCACTTTTAACTCTACACTTTTTTCTGGAATACACTCCCACAAAAAGAAACAACAGGTAGGCAAAGTTAATAGTTGCAGTATTATTTGTCATACAAAAGTTTGAAAAATCCAAACACAACCATTGTTTGCTTAGATTGTGAACAACTGGTTGAATATGGTACACCCACACATGGGCTAGATTAAAGAAAAAGAAAAGTCTTGCTTTAGAATGAATTCTAGATTATGGAAACTTGGAACCCGTTGATGTGGAAAACTGGAAAAATATCCTGAAAACTAAAAAGAAATAACCTATAAAAGGTGGGGGAGAAGAAACGGGAAAGAAATCGAAGCAAAATGTCTCTGATTTTGAATTTCTAAGACAATAGTAGCCAAAAAAGTAAAAAGAAGAAAGGAAAAGAAGAAACGCTGGCAGAAAATGTTGAAACAATTACCTTCACTCTATGTAGGATAGTCGTGTTGTTACACAGACTACAAACTTGTTCTTGGGACTTTTGAGCATAGGACTCTGAAAAAATATCTAATGTGACATATACATGTATATATATCCTAGTGATGAAAAAAAACTGGGTCTTCACCTTAACTCAGTAGTTTATAAATAATGGTAATATTGTGGTTTTGAAACTATATTATGGATAACACAAGTATTTTAATGTTACAATTAACAAAAACTTTCAGAATAAGAAAATTTAGATACAACTATAAGATCAAGAAAGTTGAGGCGAGACTATAAGGCAAATACAGGAGAAATATCAATTTGAACAAATGATGTTTAAAATAAATGTCCAAGATCTGCACTAAAGATCCTATAAGCACCAGAGTGGCCAATTGTCCACCATCTTTTATTAGTTAATCCTTTATAGGTAATTTTCTGTGCTTAAATTACGGTTTATTTGTGATCTGGCCATAATAGATGAAGAGTTTGTACTACTAAATAAGATAAAAAACAGCCCAATAGTAAATAAACATTTACGTATTCATTTTGTCTCCAAATATAGAGTTTCAGTCATGGATTTAGGGGCTAAGATAAGATAGAACAGATACAAAGCAAATGAAGGAAGACAAGGAAGGATGGAGGGAGGCTTTGTTCGTGTGTAACAGGGAAATGGTTTCTGGAAGAGCTTGGAATCTTACAGGTTGTAAGAATTGAGACAGGCGAGCCTGGTATTTTGTTCCCGTTTATCAAATGAGAAAATCAAGATCTCAGAGGCTAGAAGCACCAAGTAATTATTCCTTTCAAGACCCTCTGAAACCTGGCCTTCTGCTCTTTCCACCTACCTTTGTTTCCAAGTGTTGATTTCAGGCAATATATTGACACATTAAATGATACAGAAGAGAAGTTTCTCCCTCAGTTCTCTGTCCTTTTAGAACTGTGCTCTGCTAAGAGAAAGTCTCCATTGCTATGTGCTTTTACATCATTCTTTAGAACAGTTTATTTCCCCTGCTGACTTTAGCTTTTGTTTGCATTGCATTTAATTTACAGTTACCTCATGATTATGGATGCACAAATCCTGAACAAAATACTAGCAAAGCAAAACCAACTACATATTAAAAATATTACACCTATGATGTCAGGACAATTTGATAGCCACATGTAAATGAATGAAATTGAACTTCTACTTCACACCTTATATAAAAATTAACTCAAAATGCATCAACAGGGAAAAAATAAAATGATAATCCACAGCGATCCTCATCTATAAAAATGGATTCTGAGATATGACACAATTGCATATGCAACAACAACAAAAGAATAGGTAAGTTAGACCTCAAATAAAAAAGTTTTGTACATAAAAGAACATTATCAACAAAAGGAAAAGCAGATTGGCAATATGGGAAAAACATATTACAAATCATACATCTTAAGGGTCTAATATCCAGAATATACAAAGACCTTTTATAATTCAACAACAAAAAGACAAACCCCAATTTTTTAAATGGGCAAAGGATTTGAATAGACATAGAAAGGAAAAAATACACAAGACCAACAAACAGATGAAAGGTTTTTCACATCATTAGTCACTAGGGGAAAAAATAAAAACCACAATTAGCCACTTTTTTATTTTATTTTATTTTTTATACAAAGGTTTATTTTTACATCATTTTGTACATTTTTTTTCCATCTCAATTGTAATCCCTGTGGGTTTCCCATCACCAACTCACCCATGTGCCATCACCATAATCCCATGCATTTCCCTCCCCACCCCCCCATTTTTGATCCCATTCCCCACTCCACCCCGGCAAAATGTCTCTAGTATATGGTTGTAGCCACTTTTTTAAAAAAGGAAAGAGCAAACAATGGCAAGGATGTGGGAAATTGGAAGCCTTGTGGTGGCAGGAATGTTAGATGGTACAGCTGTCATGGAAAATAGTTGTGTATTTCCTCAGAGGGCTAAAAAACATAATTCCAGGCCCTCCCTGGTGGCGCAGCCCGTTAAAGCACAGCACTCAGAATCCAAAGCCGCTTCCTCATGAGTTCGATTCCCGCCTGCCCCGGAGGTGACCACATGGCGTGGCAGACCTCTCCTGACCCGCCCGCTGCTCCCCTCAGCAGTGTACTTCGTCGATCTGCCTGTTCTGTTTCCCACTCTGTCTCTGCTGAAGCCTCTCGCGGCCCCTGAGCCTCTGGCCTGTACCCTGGTTCTGTATGCACAAATAAATAAATCTTTAAAAAAAAAAAACAAAACATAATTCCTTGAAATAGGCCCAAAAAAACTGAATAAACTGAATACAGATACTCAAAAGTATACCCATATAAGAATTTTTATAGTGGGTTTATTTACAATAGTCAAAAGATAGAAGCAACCCGATGCCCGTTGTATAGTCTCTATATCTAACATAAGAATTAGGGAGAAATTTCTTTCTTTATGGTCACTAAATATTATCCTATTAATCTTATCTAAAAAAACCTTACTATGTGAAAAAAGGGTTGGGGTGAAAGAGGAAAGAGTAGGAAAACTTATTATTTATAATTTTATTACTTAAAACAAAACTATGTTACTTAAAACTATAGATCTTTTATTGGGGACTGGGCAGGAATTATTACAGCCTTTGGTCCCCAGAATTCATGGACTGTGACATGTCTCTCATTCTTGTAGGACCTAGACTTGTGCCAGCCCTCTCAAGCAGAGAAATATTAATTATTATATAACGTACTGTGCCATTCTGTGTACAGTGCTATTGTCATTAAACCAATCAATCCAATCAAGTAATTATTGATTTTATATTGAATGTATATTTGGACAATAGCTATGCTTCTTGGAAACGGCCATAAACAAACGAAAAGAATCCAGCAAGAACCAGCTGTGGAATATCCTGACTTTTCAGGATTTTTGCCCCCACATCAGGACCTTATCATACAACGTGGCCCTCGCCACTCAGACCTTAAACTGAATGTCAGTCACTTAACTTCCTTTCATCCCTCACAAGTGTTCGTATGTCCCTGAGGGTAGCGTCCCGAGACGCTCTTGGCCACCCCAGGCCTGCCTAGCCCAGGACACCCAGGAAGCCCAACACCTACTAATAAAGACCAGAAGTGAGCCTAGTTGGGCCGGGCTCCGCCACCCTCTCCTGCAGGGTCGCCCTGATCTCGCTAAGCCTCGGGCTCACAAGGAGTCGCCTCCCAGTCCTGACCGCCTGCAAAGGCACGACATGATCGACTTAATTCTTGGCACACTTCAGCGCTGTCCCCTCCTTTCTAGAAAGCAGGGGATCCAAGTGGCTTTTAGGAATTGAAGCCCAGACCTTTGAGGTGCGAGGAAGATGCGAGCGAAGATCCGGCGCTCGGCGCCCCAGACTCCCGCCCCGGCCCCACGGGCCCCTCCCCGCTCCCCCGCTGCCCCCTCCACCCCCATCCGGACGGCCCCGCCCGTCCAGTTCCCCTCCCACCCAGAGCCGGGGCCGCCGCTGCCGAGCCGGCTGGGACAGGTGTCTGGCGCCCAACATGCCGCGGCGACTCTGGCTCCTCCTAGCCGCGCAGTTCGCAGGTAAGCTGGGGAGACCCGCTGTGTCCGCGATCTGGCGGGCTTCTGTATCAGACGGGAGAAGAGCCATAGAGTGGGGCTAGGCAGGGCTGAGGGGATAGGCAGGGCTGAGGGGAGAAGAAACACAGCCCTGAGCCCGGATTGGGGGACACTGGGGAGAAGGGGCAGCAGGCGCAGTCCCGGGAAGTGGGAAGAAACCCCATCCGAGGGGCAGGGGGTTCATTAGCCCAGGGGGCCCGGGACTGAGGCCACCTCTCCCCAAAATCCTGGGTAGCGGAGAAGTCCCTCTGGAGAAGAGAGGAAGAAGGGTGGTGAGTGAGAGGAAGGGAGGGAGGTTGGGGGAGGGAGAATGCCCTTTTCCAGAGGCCCTTCGGGAATGGTGCCCAGGGACCGAGCAGGATTCGTTCTGGCTTTAATGCCCCACGCTTGGCCCCGGGTTCCGTAGATACATTTTCATTACTTCCGGGTAAGTCCGCAAACACCAGGCTGTGACCAATTCTTGGATAGGTACGCCATAATACCCCCTCAAGACTCCCGGTGTCCCCAGTATTCCCTGTGCTCGGCGGGGTGTGGAATAGTGTGCTCCCCGAGCAAGTGGTGTTGGGGTATAGTGGAGTCTAGGCTGTTCTCCCACGTAGGCCAGCCAGACTGTGAGAGAAGCCGCTCCACACCCCAGGGTGCCCACTGCCTGTGGATGGTTGCTCTGAGGCCCAGGCTGTGGATTCTGTCAGGGGGCAAAAGACCTGCCAGCCCCAGGCTCACCCAGTGAGTTCAACAGTCTTAATAGAAGCAAGTCTAGGCCTTTGCAGTTACTAGAGTGCGCCCATCATTTTAGAAACATTCCTTCTGAGAACAGAAATGCTGAGAAGTCCAGACCACTGTGTGGCCAGGCCTGGCTGGGTCCAAGACAGAAGGGTCCCGGACACAGCCGGCTGTCAGATCTTCAGGGGATGGAAAGCAAGTGGATTAGAGCGAGTCGTGGAGGGTCTCAGCAAGGAAGTGTTTGTGTCCGGCCACAGGAGGGGAAAATGTAAAGACAGCCTGAGGCCCCTTCAAGGAGTCGCTTCTGGGCTTTCTTAGAAAGGCTTCAGAAATCTGTGTCTTCTGCCCCCACGACGTTCACGTGAGCACACTATCACGACTCCACATGTGACTTTCAGGGCTCAATTCCTTAGTCCAGAGAGTGACTCAAAGATCCAGGTCGGAGTCTCAGCCTGGTTTGAATCTAGATCCTCCATGTACAAGCTGTGTGACTGAAGCATGTCCTTAACCTTTCAGAGACTCGGTTGATGTGGAAAACAGACGTAAGGTGAGGATGAGATGAAATAATGCAGGGGGAAGCTCAGCAGGGTTTCTGAAGTACTGTCGTTATCAGTTCTAATTATCTCTCCTAAGCAGTTGGTAAAGATCCTCTCCACAGTCAGTATGCTGTTTGGGGGAAAATAAGAAGGCCCCATTCAGTTTTGATGCCAGTGAAAGCCCCGAGTGGCCTATGAATGGAGTGAAAAAGTCAAGTTCATTTCATCAGCGCTAGAGAAGGCCACGGTGGGGCCCTGGGACCTGCGATGCGGGAACAGGCACATGGTTAATGTGGACCTCGATTTCATGCATTGAGTTGACTCTTCTAGGAGAAATGCACACACTTCGGCCTCCTGAGCCCACCCATGTCTGTCCCACTCTGGACCTTGCTGCCTCTGAATCACTGGCTTAGCTGCCCCACAAATTCCATTAGTCAGAGCTTTGGTGGTCTGGCTGTGTAAGCCAATTCCTCTCCCAGAGAACTTATTTGCCGCCAGTAATGATCCCCATGGCCTGTTATCTACCCCTTTGCATGCTTTACAGTTTGAGTATGCCGTCTTGGACATTCTAACCCTCCAAGGCCGACAGGACAACGGCATGAAGCTGCCCTCCTTTTGCAGGGAGGAAAAAGGCTAACCATTCTGAGGTTCCACAGTGGGGTAAGGCAGAGGCTGGGTTCAAGGCCAAGTCTGGGGGCTCAGTTCTGATTGTCCATGAACAGCTGGTGCTGCCTGCCTAAGGCCAAAATGGTGCTCCACAATACTCTGGCCAGGGCTCTTTCTGATGGTCTCTCTTCCTTTCTTCTTGTAGCACTCCATGGTGGCTTGGTGCTCCATCAGGTCTCTGGGTCCCTAGTGTATCAGACTGGTCGAACAGTGACACTGACCTGTGAAGTCAAAGGTTCCTCCAGTAACACCCCCATCCACTGGCTGAGACAGCACCATGCCCAGAGTGAAAAGCGTCATTACGAGTTCCTGGTCACCTGGGACCCAAAAAAAAAAACTGTATATGGCGAGAAGGCGGAGAAGGAGAGGCTGAGTGTATCTGGTGGTGGGAAATCTCCCACTCTCAATATCACAAAAGCAAAACCTGCTGACAGTGGCACCTACTTCTGCATGACTATCGGGAACCCCGAACTGACCTTTGGGAAGGAAATTCAGCTGACTGTGGGTAAGAATCTGGCTTTGTGCTGACCATAAACATGGACCACCGACTGTGTGCCCCGCACGCAGGAGCACTGGGGGCTTTCGGTGAGCCCCACTGTGCAGGAGGGGTTGGCATTCATGGGTGTTCTTCAGAAGTGCCTCACTAATGCTGCCAAGCTTAGTACTGCTAAGATAGTACTAAAGGTACTGTCTTAGTACTGTGCCATAAGAGTATGATTTCTGTGGTAGATGGCCTCAGTTTTCTCATCTGTCTCATGGGACTATTGACGGCTTCCATGACTCTTTCCAGCCCTTACGGGCCATGGGGGTCATTACAGGCAGTTCCTCAGGAAAGGAATGTAAGCCATTACCCAGTTGCTTAGTTCCACAGGCCTAGGAGCATCGCTGCTCTTGGGAGAGGACAGCGTTGTCGTCCACGCACAGCAGGTCGTCCTGTATCCGATGGCTGCATGGCTGAGTGCTCAGGCCTGGTGGTGACCTCAGCATCTCCACTGAGTGTGCACAGAGTAAGAAGGTCCTCCCTTCCCGGACCTACCCAACAAGAGGATTTCTAGGGCTAGTGGAAGTCACACACCCTCTTGATCTGTACGAATAAAACTCACACCAAGAATTACAGGAAGCAAGGAGACTTCAAGCTCCTGTAAATCTCCCTGTTGGTCAGGTTGCTTCCCTCCCTGGCCTCAGTTTTCTCATCTGTCTCATGGGGTTGTTGATGGCCTCCATGACCTCTCCAGCCCTTACAAACTGCAGTTCCTCATGAATGAGGAAGCAGGTCCAGTAGAAATATATTGTGAGCCACAGATGCAATAATTTTTTTAATTAAAAAATAGAAAGAAACAATTGAATTAATTAATTAATTAATTAAACAATTAATTGAAATAATCTATCTAACCCAGTGTATCAGCATTATCATTTCAACATGTCGATTTAAAAGTTATTACTAAAATAGTTTACATTCTCTTTTCACACTGTTTGGTGTCGGTGTTACACATACACATATCACACATCTCGACACAGGCTGGCTGTATTTCACATGCCCGGTAATGGCGAGTGGCTGCCATTTAGGATAATGAGGATTAAGCTATCATGGGTACAAAGGACTCACAGGAGAAATTCTCAAAGGCATTAGCCATGCTCTAGTTTACCCCGTGTCAGGGCCACTGCGAACCCCCTGCGGGGCTCCCTGTCCTGCTCCTGATCAGCTGGGCTCTTCTCAGGTTGGGACCCTGAGAGTGGCAAGGGACTCTGGGAATGAGCCCACACAGCATGGCCAGAGGCAAAGACAGCTGGGGGTAGCAGCGCAGTGAGGAAGACCAAACCCAGAATGATAACCTGCCACTTCTTGTCAGACTCCAGTCTTCAGCCAGGAGGTAGGGGTTGCAGGTGGAGGGTAAGATCTTTAGGCAAGAAGGTAAGGCAGGCATTGAAGGTACGTCAATTGATTCCTGTACTGAAAATTGGGTTTTGGTTTTGGAGGGTTCGGATTTCGGTTTGCCTTCTTATTTTTTGTGTCTATAACACCCACATCTTCCCACTCATGAGATTTCAGGGTTCAAGGAAGGTGAGTGATAGTATAAGCAAAACTGGCATGCAAAAGTTCCCCACTTCTGCCACCACCCATTTTCTTCTAACACTGATATTTCCAAACTTCTCATTCGGCCCAGCTCCCAGAACTGCCTGGAACTGCCAAACCATCTATGTCCCTAGGGCCCAGCCTCCTGCCAGAGGTAGAGGCAGCATATTTTTTTTTTAAAGATTTATTTATTTA